GTTTTGATTTTCTGATATTTTTTTTATTATCATCAAAACAAAGATCCAAAATAAATTTGTTTTGGTTTCTTTTGATCATCTGTACGTGCAACCAAGTTCAAGCAGAGGGAGAATGAGAGTTAAAGTGGAAACTTCTTATGGTTATGTGTGGGGTCGAAGTCTGAAAACATAAGCAAGAAAGGATATCATACATAATCAATGTATTTGTAATATGTGACCCATTTCTTTCATAAAATGAATGTTTGACTGATTTCATTACAATTATGAAGTTATAATCTTTTATGATTATAAACATGGTTTTACATCTTATTAGAAGACACCGATAGTAATCATTTATAATTATAACTGTCAGCAATATAAATGATTAGATAATCAATTATAATCATATCATTTATGATTATAACACCACATGATTTTGCTACTAAACATTCATTTTAATATTTTGTTGATCTTTTTATTGTATTTACATGTTTTTGGCATTTTGTATGTATTTATCAAAGAAAAAGGAATGCAATCACTTTTTAGGTATCACTGGTGCTCGTTACACAAGCAGCCATTTGATCCAAATAGAAGAATGAGGTTGCAACCGATTCAAGAAAATGGCTGACATATGGATGAATTTTTCAATATTTTTTTTTCATTTAGAGTGGTTTAATCATTGTTGAATATAATCATGTATAAATGTATGAAACTAGTATTGGCATATTCATTTATGAATATAAGTATATAAATGTATAAACTCAATCTTTGGAAATTTTATTTATGAATATAACATCGTTTAATAATAAATAGAGTTCATTTTTTTACTTATTTGTAAATAAAATAACTTATCTTTAAATTGTGTTTTATTCATTTACGATTACAACTTTATTGTTTTATAATTACAAATGTGTTTTACTCACTTATAAATAATAACATTTGATGAATGATAAATTATAAAAAATGACTTTTTTAACAAAAAATTAATTAAAATTATTTTTGTCATATATTAATACAAAAATCGATTAATATATCATTTTAAGTAACTGTAATTAATATTGCTAAAATTTAGGAGATTAAGATTTGTTATAATTTAAATTAAATACGTAATTACTAATATACCCTTGTAAAATGATTGGTCAAGAAGTGTTCTCGCGTTCTCAACCTTTTAGGTATTCTCATTTGATCATTTTCATATATATATATATATATATATATATATATATATATATATATATATATATATATATATATATAATGAACTTTATTAACCCATAAATATATATATTTTGAACCACACATGCTTTATTTATGTATTCGATATTTTATATAACGACAAATATAGTTTTATTATAATTATAAACAATAAAGATTTATTTTAAAGTTTATAACTATAACCATTAAAATAGTTGGTATTGTCATTTATTCACTTAAAATGATATAGTTACTTCTATTTTCTATTTTTGATATGTATATATTGGTATTGCTGGTTTTACATTAGGTAAAACCCTGATTTTTGGTCAAAATACAGCTGTTACAATGCCCAAATTTCGTTAAAAAATTCATTATAGTTTTTATACAACGAATAAATTATAAGTCTAATAAACTTTATAACTTAAGGTTTAGGACAAGAAATCATGCACTTTAGAATTGTTTAAACTCAGAATTACTATATGAGTGTCTATTAATCAATTAAGAACAAAAATTTTGTGAAATCCTCTGTGCTATAACCGTTAATCTTAAAGGAGCGATGAACGTTGTGTATAGATCTATATGGGTTGATATCCCCGTCTGCGGTTGCTAGCTACTTCCATCTGACGAGTCAAAACATACGATAACTGTTCGTTATCTATCTCTTTCACGACGTCGATGAAACATTGTTGATGTTCTCGACACGCCCCATTGTAGTGTCATAGAGATGCTTGATCTAGTCATTTAGTTCGATTATAGGCTCAAGATAGCCCCATAGTACACTCTAAAAACACTCATATAAGTTGAAATAGGGTTATATATAGCATGATCACATACTTAGAACGATATATAAGTATCGATATATTATATAAGTAAAATCAATACTTATAAATATACGAATCACATGAACTTTTATTATAAATAAACATATATTTCATAAGTAAATAATTATAAACAACATGCTCACTTGTACAAAGTTACAAGCATCAAATCACACAACTCAGGCAGAACTTATGCATTTAGGTTATAAATATAACCGTTTTTATAATCTACGATCAAGCTTGTCACGGGTTAAAATACCTTATATCAGACGCTAATAATAATACAAATTTCAAACTCATGCTAATACATAATTGCCTTGATAATATCTACTTATGATATGATAATTATGAAAGATCTATATAACCAATAATCATTTTTGAATGATATTACCGTTAACATATGATCATGTAGGATCACACCAATAACAAGTATACATAAATTGAATATTTATAAGAATTTAATTATTGACAAATATTTATAACTCTTGCAATTAATTGGAAATTAATGATTCTATGAGAATAATATTTTTGAATGTAAGTATCAAAACTTATATCATAAGCTATGATATATATAAAGTCATGTACATCTTTTTAGACTAAAATGGTTTTGGATACATGCATAACATGTGGGAAATGGAGGAGTGTCAAACACTCATCCTCTTTTTGTGTTCAAAAACCGAGAGCCCCTGAGGGGGACATACTTTTGTCCTTCTTGCTTATTTAATTAAGTATGCCATTCTTTAGAAGCATGCCTTGTTATAATCATTCAACATGGGGTAATAATGGATAATACATGGAGGATAATGAAGTCATTATAAAAGGATTTCATATCCTTCTTTCCTTTCATGCAAACCGTCAATCTCACGCCCCTATCTTATTTCTCTCTAAAAGTTAAGTGAAATAAGAGCTTGATACTTAAACTCTTCTTTGGGACAAACTTGGTTTTGTGCTTAAAGGCTCAAGAGTTTTTATAATGCAAGTGTGTACTAGCATACGAAGCTGTTGCAACTTGTTGATTGATACCTCTAGATGAACTCTCATTTGTGTTCTTTCCATCTCCATCAACTTCCAACATCCCAAAAGGATTCAAGAACTTCAAAGATTGTTATTTCTTGAACTTATATGGTTGTAATTAATCTTTAATTTTCATGCAAAATGATCCTTGGTGGGTATATAATAGTTTTATGTTATTCAACTTTACTTTGCTTTTGTTGCCATTTTATCGTAGGCAAATGTGTAATATTGGAGGGTTACTTTTGACTTTTGATGCAAATGAATTGTTTAACAATCTTGCTTGTATTGGTTTTGACTTTTGATAATTAGCAAATTACATGAAATTATCAACTTGTCTATTTATATATATATATATATATATATATATATATATATATATATATATATATATGGAATAGTGAATATACCATTGAAGGTATATAAGATTGGGTACCCAAAAATCAAAACTAAGTCGTTTTTGTTATTGGTTTCATTTTTTTAATAAGATTATGCAATTTCCTTAAAAAAAACGAATATTGCATTGGTGATTATTTCCTTAATTATCTGAAAGACGTACACTATCTTCCTTGATCTTCGACTTCTTCGATCATGGTTTAAAAAAACAGAGATTGATAAATGAATTTTTCTTTTACGAATTGGATTTCTCAGAACGTATAGAAAAAAAAAAGGTTCAATCACCTTTTTGTTACACTTCCTTGATCTTCGACTGTTTCCTGCTTTAGTGATCATCCTGCTTCTACGAACTGGATTTTACAGAAATCATAGAAATAAAACTTTCAAGAAATTGATTTTTGTCACACTTCTGATTCACGTTTTCTAAATTTTAATATTAGACATTGATCGTTGATTATTGTATGATAGAACAATCCAATGAACATGAGCAAGTCTTGTTTCAAAAATTTTATAAGTTTTTTATATGTTGGAGAGATATTATGTTGTTCTATGGTCAAAGAGAAGCTTTTCATTACTATTTAGTTTTGGTAACCGAATGTATATTCTAAAGTATAAGTATGGACAAAAAGACAAAATTTTAATTGGGTCAGATATGTAAGATGTGAACTTTAAGCTCCTTTGAAGTTGAGTGGACTATTATTTCACACATCATGGTAGATTGGAGTGTACGTACTAAAGTCAAAAAATTTAGGTTGTGTCCAATTGTGTTTAGTGTCAAAGTAATTTGAAGCTATCAAATGTCATGCCATCTACTTGTCTATCAAATGGGAAACCTTAAAATATCATATTGGAATGTGCATAGTGATGCATGTAACTGTAGGTGCTCTAATACCTAATAAAAGTTGGAGATCCTTGTGTTATCTTTATTGTGTCTGATCCACTACATTTATATATCATATGTTTGTTTTAATTTGATATATTTTTTATTATAAGGTGCGTATTACCCACACAAGTGTTTCAAAAGACAATCAATATTCTCTTTACGAAAGCACAGAGGAAACATGAGAAAAATGAGCAGAAAGGAAAAAGAATTTGAGAAAAGATAATTAGAGATCATTTGTGGGAAAAAACATCAACGATCAGCAACAAACTTTTCCTAAAAAATGACAAAATTTATGCATGAAAATGTTGTTTACCGAGTGCAACATTTCACCTTGTTGGACGATTTTACCCCTGTCCTAAAGATGGTATGTAATCCTCAAGATGATTAATGTTTGATCCATTTCAGTTTTGTATATGCTTGAGTTTTAACTTCCAATTTAGTTGATTAAATATTTTTCGGTATAAAATGAATATAAATGCATTTTCATTTCTTTACAAGGTATATATATAAACTCGTAAAATGCAGTAATTAAATAACCAAAATAGCCAGAAATCAAGACTTGAGCTTGAATTTAACAAAGTGAGTTTGAATTATGTTCACATTATATCTTTTGATTGATTTAACAAGTCCATCTCTAAAAACAATTATCCTTCAAACAAACTCTAACCATGATCTGGACTGTTTAATCAAAATCAAATTTCTTTTTAACGAGAATCACACTCACCACAACATATTCATAAAACACAAATCGCCCAAAATTAAATGTATATATTCATAAAATCTTGAAAACTGTACACCAAAATATCCCAACTGATAAGAAACAACTTTGTTTTCATTCCCATTCCGATTCTCTTTTCTCATTGATTCCATTCCAACATTCTCCAATGCTCTCTGCAACTCCTAAATCTGATCCAATGCTTTAACCAATTCATCAGCACTCGGCCTGTGTTTGGGTTCTTTCATGAGACACTTCATTGTCAGCATGGCTGCCCGTGTGGCAACAGAAGTCGCGTATTGCCCTTCGATACGTGGGTCCATGATGTGAAGAATCTTTTGTTTGCTACTCAAAAAAGGCTTAGCAAATACAACCAATATTTGTTGGCCAGATGGACGGTTTTTGTCAATGCATTGCCTACCTGTTAAAATCTCAAGGAGAACCACACCAAAACTGCATACATCGCTTCTTGCTGTCAAATGACCTTCGTAACAATATCAAACAATATTAAGTCAATACAAAACACTAAATGACCATTTTACCCTTACATTCCAAAATACAAATATCAAAATATTAATCAATTTTAAAAATATTCATCAAAAGTGAGGAGTTGGTGGTACTTATAGAATTACTCAGTAATTTAGCCTACAATTGTTAAACAATGTAATTTAGAAAATCCAGTATTAAACAATTCATCTAGGCCCATTTCCATATCTTTCATCTGTCAATTGTATCAGATATATTAAATCATATTCTACTTTTTAGTTAACATGAAAGGGCAACTCAAGGGAGTCAATCCCACTGGAACGATAACAACCTATGCTTTTCAAGCAATATTGACATAAAAGTTCAATGAGGCATTCAATCGAACACCTGGTGGGTGTGCTACATATACTACAATTTCTAGTGAAAATGGGTTGCCTATAGTGATGTTGATTCCACACCGACCATCAGACCTAACTCACTCTATACACAATGTACAAGGGAAATAATAAAAGAATATGAGATTGCCTTATTTCGGATTAAGAGTGCAATTCACGAACTTTGTTGGACAAGCCATGGGCGTGAAATTAGGTGGATGGTGAACCCATTGCAACGATGGCCAACTGTGACTCCTTGAACCCGAGAAATAAATCGAAAACATGAGTGTGGAATTAATCAGGAACCGTTGTGTTCTTGAATTTATATCAGTAACGTAAAATCACTGAGTTTTGTTCATGGAAATACCTGTTGGACGATCGAATTGCACATTATTGATTCAAATCCCCTACAATCACCTCCAACATACTCTTCCGACGAAATATTCCGGCGAAATAGGTAGTTGTGGATACGAGTTACTAAAGATCGGTGGCTCAGTTGATAGATGCGAGTAAGAGGAAGAAAAATGGACCGGTTAACTTGGAACGACGTCGGATTTTAGTTAGGATACCTAAATGTATATACCCTCAAGGGTATACTCACTATTCCCATATATATATATATATATATATATATATATATATATATATATATATATATATATATTTTGATAAAATAATTACTAAAAGCTAACTAAGAAAAACAACTAAAAGTGGGGGTTTTATCTGATTTTACAAGTTCAGAAAAACTTAAGCACTCAAATAAAAACGATTGTAATCAATATACTAAAACACTTTCGTTTAGTTTCGAATCCACATTTTTTCCTATGGTTAGTTCTTATTTATGGACTAATGAAGTTGGTTACCAAGTTATTGTAATTAGCAATTCAAGTCCAAATTTACAAATATTTTCATCAAATCATGAACTACATTGTATGGTCATACACAAGCAAATCACAAAATTAGTTATTCCTTATAGATGAGCTATGAAAGATTTATCTAAATAAACATCATTATGGTCACAATTATGTTCTCCAACACATCTAAATTTGTTACTTTTATTACTTATCTAAGATTTGGTTGATCCTAGCTCTAACAATTTAATGGTCATTAAATCACTAGGTAATCAAGTTCATGTAATTTAATGGTCACTAAGCTACACTACACTTGAAATTAAGCAACAAAGTTAAAAACTTTAACATGCTAGGTAATGATAATCAAACACATGCATAAACCAAATTCATATAATCCACAAAGTAAGAAACTAACTCATAGTTTTAGGTTTCATCTAACTAAACGAAAGCAAGGGTTTTTAGCCCATAATCACAGCTGGAAAGCACATAAACATAAGGGAAACTAGACTAATCATGATTAAACTAAGCAAACCGAATGTATAGATGCAAATCCTTGCTCAAATCTCTTTATCCTTTGATCTCTAGTTGAATTCTACCCTCAAAGGGGTCTTGGAAGGGTAGTTTTTCGTTAATAGTCGCAGCCTTCAACCCTTTCTCCCCTGGAATCGACCTAATGTCCGAGATATATATATTTACCAAAAATCTCGATACCACGACGTGGTAAATGTCACACCCCCAAACCAAGGATGGCGGAAACGTCCGGGGGTGGAGGACTTCGTGTATAGTATCATAACAACAATTTCAATAGTGATCAAAGTAAACACAACCAACATAAATATAATTGAAAAAGTTACACCATAGTATATGTTTACATGTTTCCAAATCAATTACATTATGTTGACAAAAATGAAATGTTTGACGCCCTAACGTCCCATCCTCAAAAGCACTTGTTTACCCGTTCATTTATTCCCTGAGAATACAAGTAGTTTGAAAGAGTGTCAACAATTAAGTTGGTGAGTTCATAAGCTTTTGAATGTAGTGATTAAAACCTTTTCCTTTGTAAAAGTAATGTTTGTTCCAAAAAAATCCAATATTTTCCTTAAAGTGTGAATTGCAGCCTTAAATCCAAAGACCAAAATGTACAAGTAATTTCCATACTTATAGTAAAACAATGCAAGTTTAAATTGACATAAACTCTTTTGATTTAATAAAATTCTCGTAATTCCTATGAATTGTTAATACTCTATGTGAGTTATTATAACCATACTATGACCTAGATGGCCTGAAATGACGTTCTTCAGGCGTCGGAACTGTTATGACATTTGTCACCCGTAGACCTCGAGGTCCTACTGTAGCTAACAACAAGGTGTGGGGTGTCAATCCCAATATAGATCTATACACAACTATCACGCTCTCCCTCAAAGAGACTCTGGTTACAATACAGGACTTATGGTGCATTACTTGAAAAGTAACATGAAGCGAATGTCTCACAATTTAGTCATTAACGGATTTACGTGTGGTGAATGAAAACCCTTTTTGTGTAAATGAAACCTCTAGTAACGAACTTGTTGTGTAGTGCATCATAAACTATACCTATTATAGTTTATCAAATGATAGTAGTAGTAGTGAACATAAACTATACTTACAATAGTTTATCAAAATGTTTGAATGCAATGGATATAAACTTTGTTTATTTTAAATAAATTACCATATTTGTGGAGGTAAAAATCCATTTTTTTTCTGTTGTATGTCTATTTACCAAGATAAAATGACATATAATATAACACATATATGCACATAATGATACACACCTTGCTCAACAAGTTACAAGGTGTAAGTGAAATAGATAACATTTTTCTAGTGTTAACATTTCTATTCCTGTTCTTAGAAGATTTATAGAAAAATCATCAAAAGTCCAAATCAGAATCTGTAAATTCTGAGAGTTTGGAAAATGTGTCTAGTATGTTCATAAATTTTATTATGATATTTAGTGGCTTCTCACTTGTGTGAAAAAGTCCATATTCACAGACTGGTTCGGATTTGTGGCTACTGTGATAGGCAGTTTTGTAAAAATCACCATAATTAGTAGAAAACTATTTACACCTAATACAGTTTTGAAAACTAAAAAGTTTAAGATGTTCCAAACAGTCCGTGAATGGAGTTAAACTTCTTTGATGAAAGCTGATGGATGAGTTTAGTTGTGTTCTTGGTGTTTTAACTTGTATCCCCCCCCCCCCCTTAAAACTTAAGAAAAACATGAAAAGATAGGGGTATGAACTCACCTTGAGTGATTTCAGAGGATGGATGATGAAGCAAGGAGGTGTTCAACTCAAGAACACTTAGAAGGTGCTTGATGATTCGAAGATCTAACACACATATGATGATGTTTGTGTAAGATATCCATGATTTAAGTAGAAAGAAGGAGAAATAATCATGTGAGGAGTGATATTACTTACTAGGAGTAGATGAAGAGCTTGTGATCAGCCTTGGACTTTTCGAGATTAGAGAGAGATAGTGAGAGAGAATGAGTTTTTGCTTTTTGGTGAAGTGTGAGTGAAATGGGAGGAGAGATAAGGGTCTTACTATCCTTGTGTCAAGGCACTTGGCTGAAAAGAGTGGGAAAAAGGACAATGAAATGACCAGGTATGGTGGAATAGTAACTGGGGATGGTCTTGGAGTGGGTATGGGAGGTGACTTGTGTCCTTGCCCAAAGGATAAGTCAACACTCCACTCCATATCTTACCCACTATATTTTTAGTCTTAGATATTGATTACCCTCAAAATGTGATTAGATTATGGAAATATGGGGTCTTATATGTCAAAATATAAGTTTGGGTCAAACTCTCTCGTTAAAATCACGAAAAACGGGCTCAAAACGCTAAAAATATTGAAAACCGGGTAAAAGTTGTAAATATCCGAAGTTCAGGGTCGGAGGTTCGGTCCTAGCCATTAGAACCGAAAGTAGATGGGAACCGAGAGTAGGGTTCGGTCTTGAGCAGTTTCGCATCTTGGAACCGAAAGTAGCATTCTCGGACCGAAGGTGTATTCTCGGACCAAAGGTGGCACTCTCGGACCGAAGGTGGAGTTTCGGTCTCTTAGTAGGTTCGGTTCAGGAGGGTGGTTTCGGTTCTCAAGAGGTTTCAGTTCCTTAAGGGAGGTTCGGTTCCTAAGAAGGTTCGGCTCCTTAAGAGAGGTTCGGTTCCTAAGAAGGTTCGGCTCCTTAAGGCTGTTTTTCGCGTAAACTTCCGTTTTCGAGCGGTTTTCGACTAAATTAAGGGTCGGGATGCCCCGAGTGATTATAAGAAGTTGAGAGAGATTTTGAGAGAGATTTGGGAGAGATTTGACATACTTAGAGAGATTTGACATACTTGGAGAGATTTGGCATACTTAGAGAGATTTGACATACTTGGAGAGATTTGACATACTTGGAGAGATTTGGGAGAGATTTGACATACTTGGAGAGATTTGGCATACTTAGAGAGAGATTTGGGAGAGATTTGACATACTTTGAGAGATTTGGCATACTTAGAGAGATTTGGGAGAGATTTGACATACTTGGAGAGATTTGACATACTTGGAGAGATTTGGGAGAGATTTCTTTTGTGACCTTTTTGAGTGTTTGGCTTTGTAACGCAAAGTCCGTAAACCCCGTTAAGTCGTGTTTAAGAGTCTAACACACCCCCGAAGGGTATGTAATAGTGTTTTATCGCTTTGCTACATCACTTACCCTGATTAGGGCTCAAGAATCCTACACATACGAACTTTCCAAGTGATGACTTCTTATTAAAATAGCGAGTTGTACAATAATTACATAACGTAAACCCTAGTATACAAGAGTTAGTAGAGTTGACCGGTTTGACTTGTTGACTTTATTTGACTTTGACTTGACCAGAATTTGACGGTTGTCACAGTAAAGGCACCACGACGTGGTAAAGGCACCACGTCGTGGTCCTCAAGTTTATCCCGTATTCTCCACGTCGGCATCAAGAATCGCGAAGATTCCATTCACCACGTCGTGGTAGTTGAAAATCCGACTTTTCTCAAAGCAGGAAAGTCATCCGAAATTGTGTCTAGTTTTCAGATCAGTTTGAATCTCGTCAATCGGAGTTACGAGTCATGAGATATGGTCAAATTACTGACGAGGGGTCAAGCTGTCCAACAACATCTTTCTTATGTCTTCTTCTTGCCTAAGCTGGCATTTTCCTGCTTCCATCTTCCATGTTGCTTCCGAGCATGTCTTTTATGCTACATAACATATATTAAACATAATAAGTACCTTTTGTTCTATAATAAGCATAATTATAGCTAAAAGTATTAAGATATGATGTAATATATATATAGATATATATATATATATATATATATATATATATATAGAGAGAGAGAGAGAGAGTGTGTGTGTGTGTGTGTGTGTGTGTGAAACATCCAAAAATATGGTCCCAAAAATTTCATTTTTTTTAAATAGATAAAATAGTATTTTCAAATATCATCCATACATCTCAACAAAACCAATGTATCAAATGTTATAAAAATCAGAGTAAATATCATATTCGGAATCCCAATGGTGTGTGCGATGCAGTCAACTCGAGTTCTTCCCCTTGGAACCGGAAGTACCTGAAACATAAACTAAAATCCGTAAGCACAAAGGTTAGTGAGTTCCCCAAGATACCATGTACCAAACATATCACATAACAGGCCCCGCC